TTCTAACACCTTCTACAAAGAACGACAAATCTATAGAGAAATGACAAGACAAAGTAAAGCAGTGTTAGGCTTCCGGGGGAGGCAAACTGCAGGAAGGTAAATATATGGGGGGAAACTAATGGAGTAATGTTTTTTCACAGATTCCTCTGGTGCTGATGAGTCTAGAGCCATCTCCAGTGAAGGAGAATTTATATCTTGCCTTTAGGCAGAGAAGTGGGAGGGTAGAGAGAGATTTTCCTGCATCTTTTTTTTCTTAATTGCCTTTAGCTCAAAAACAATTTTTATGTCAAAGAGGCATATCTGGGGTGACAGAATCTGGTTTCCTTCTGTTCGTGGCCAAGTAGTTTCCATAGCTTTTTTCCTGCCAGTAAAATTTGGGTATCCAAAAACCTCTTATCATGTTGTGCTATCTCTGTGCCCTTCAGTTCCAGCTGATGTAATACTTTCAGAAATCTTGAGGCCTTGGCATGTCAATTTATAATTCACTCTATTAGACAAAAGCTGCACTCACACATCTTCATGAGACAAGCCCTTCTCTGCCATGGCCTCTTTGTGTAGTTGCTATGGGACAAGACCCTTAAGACTCTTGATATCCCATTGTTTAGCAGAGAAGTTCTTCAAGACATACCCTAAGACCTGTAAAAGGCCTTTTATAATTTGCTGACCCTTATTCAGACCATGTTTTTCTAGTACCCAATATAGAATCTTTTCCTAGAAGCTATTTATTAAGTGTAACATTGTTTGCCATCTGGAGAGGCTGAGGTGAGAAAAATTTTTTCAAATGTAGTGGGTTCTAGCTTCTATATATTCAAGGGCTGGTTCTTTAGTTTATCTCTCTTTCCTTGCATTTTATCATAGGCAGTGGGAATAAACTAGGTGGAACTTTTAATATTCTACCTTGATCTCCTTACCTAAAACAGAGGTCAGCAAAATACTGCTGGTACGCAGACTGCACATTCTTTGTAAATGAAGTTTTATGGGAACACACCCATGCCTATTTGCCTATTTTGCAGGTGTCTGCTTTTATGCAGTTGTGGCAAGGTTGAGTAGGTACAACAAAATGGGATGGCCCAGAAGCATAAAGTATTTACTAACTGGCCCTTTACAGAATGAGTGTAACAACCCTTGACCAAGATTACTGAATCACTAGGTCCACCTTTTATTTTCCATGTTAGCTCAGATGGCAATGTCGCCACATTTCTGCCACCGCCTAACGAGGCCCCTTTCTTCCATCTTCCACTTTTCCTCACTTTCCTTTAATCCCTCATTGACAATCTCCTCAAGATCCTTAGGCCTCCACTAACACCTTACTTAAAGATCTTCCATTTTCTAGCTGCCACCTGTTCCCATAAGCAAAGTCATACATTTTAGGTTTTTGTTAAGGTAGCACCAACTTCAGTGTACTAAATATATTCTGGATGTCTATAACTGTATAACAAATACATTCCAAAACTTAGTATCTTAGAAAAAAAGAATTTTATTATTTCTTTTATTATTCTTTATTATTTCTTCGTGGTTGTGGGGGTAGACTGAACTCTGCTAGGTGGGTCTCTCTTGGGACAGTATCATGGTTACAGTATGATGTTGGTTGGAGCTAAAGTCATTTGAAGGCTTTTTTACTCAAGCCAGAATAGCTTCAGTGGCTTCTCCAAGTGACCTAGGCTTCCTGGCAGATGGCTGGGTTCCAAGAGCAAATATCTCAACAAGAGAATAAGAAAAAAGTGCAGGTCATTTTTATGACCTACCCTCAGACATCACATATCATTATTTCCCCCATACTCTATTGTTAGAGGCAGTTATGGAAAGGTCACTCAAGTTCAAGAAGAGGCTACACAGAAGTCAACACTGGATAAAAAGAGTGTCAACATCACATTGCAAGAATAACATGTAGCATGAGAGACATTGTGGTGACCATCTTGGGATACACTGTGCTGCACACACTGCCACTCATCTATAAGAAATGTCATATTTCTCCACTTTTACAAACCAAAGTATGTTTATCTTGGTTTGCTTTGGTGAACCTCACTGATAAGATTTGTTGGAAAGTTCAAACCCACTCATATTCTTGCCCTCCCTTAGAATTAAAGTGAAACTACACACACCAGAAGTTTTGGGCAAGGGAGGTGACAAAAAGGACTCTGGGCTTCTGTATAACCTGATGGATGGTTGAGAAAAAGAATACTGGAGGAGGAACAGGTTTATTTAATTTTATTTTGTGTTTGTATATGTATATGAGAGAAGAAAGAAGATTTTGAGTTTTGACATTTTAGTTTTGAGGTATTACTGAGACTTCTAATGTGAGATGTCAAGTAAACCATTTGGTTATAAGAGTGAAGAGCTCAGAAATGTAGCCTGGGCTGGAGATATACATTTGTGAGTTGTCTATGTTGGTGGTATTTTAAAAAGTGAGAATGAATGAGATTTTCTAGATAGGGAACATTTGGGGATAAGTGGAGAGGGTCTAGATGGCCTTGAGAAATCTCAACAATTAGTGAAGACCAGGCTTGTAAAAGAGACTAATAGGACTGACTAGAGATTATGGAGGAAAAGGAGGACAGTGTGGTATCATTCACAAGAGTTTTTCTAGAAGAAAGGAGTTCTCAGCAGTGGCAAAACTCCTGGGGGAAAAAAAAAGCAAACTAAGGAACTGAAAAATACCAGTTGTGATAACAACATGGAGGTCATTAGTAATCTTAGTGATTTACTGTTTTTGCTGCAGGAGAAATGGGTTAAAAGGTGGAGTGGGAGGTGATAAAATGAAAGCATTGTGAGAAAAAAAAAAAAACACAAAACTTTTTTAAAGCTGAAGCAGTATTTTGGGATGGGCCTGGGAGAATTGAGAGGTTAGGTGATAGTGTAGGGATTCCAAAAATGTGCAAAGTTGAGTACTAGTAAAGGGCTTTTTTAAATGTGAAAGACAGTGGTTCACTGTGGTAACAGGGGGGAAGGAAGAGAGTGTCAGGGGTGCAGACTTAAGCAGATTTGTGTTTGGCTTGTAGAGATTGGCTTCCACTTTCTCTGTAACGAAAGGGGAGAGATTAATTGTATCTCCAAATATTAGTAATAAAGGTGCAGTGTAAACTACTTGTTTTACATGTGGATGGATGCCTTAGCACCCCCACCACTTCGCAGCTAGCTAAATATCCATATTCACAGCGGTGGGAACAGAAACAATAGGTGCTTAATAAATACATGGTTTATTTTGATTATGATTCTGATGATGATGGTTATAAATATCTGATGATACCCTGATGTCAAGGAGAAGTATAGGCTCTAATCAGTCCCCTATTACAAGGCTCCTGACAAGTGTGAAGACTGAGGCTCACAGTTGGTGAATGACAGCACAAAGAAAGGAAATCCACACAAAGGAAGGAAATCCCACCCAGGGTTCTACGGGTTAAGATCAACGAGAGGTGACATCACTGTTTGCTAGAGAGTCTCCGGCAAAGCCTGTCGGGGAAGAGAGGGGACTTCCGGTTTCTGTCCGCTGGGTTTGAGAGTTTAGGACCCTGGGTTGGTGGGGTGAGAAAGAGCAGCGACTCCTTCCTCCCAGACAGCTGAGCCCGCTGGGGCGGCAGGATGCCTTGTGTGTAGCCCCCGGAACAGTGAGTTCTTTCTCGCGGGGAAGGGAGCAGAGGGCTGCGGGCAGGAGTGGCACTGCACCGCCTGGGCTGCAGTGTCCATCCCGGAGCGGGGTCCCGCTGCTGTGAGGGTCAAGGGCCCAGCCTCTCCCTCTAGCCAGGCCACTGCGCCCTCCCCTCACCCATCCCTCGCCTGCAGAGGCCTAAATGATCTTGTCAGTTGGACACGATCTGGTCTCCTGGAACTTCATCCCTCAGGGCACCCAGCCTCTGGTTCCTACCAGCTAAGGCGCAGGCAGTGCATTCAGGCCCCACCCTAGTCCTCTATTTACTCTGACAATGAACCTTGGCCTTTTCGTGGAGTGACGCCTTAAAGACAGCCTTTTAATACCATTCATGGCCTTGAGTTTGCTGCCATTTGACTGAGCCAGTGTCCCCGAGGGCTCCTCTACTACCAAAATGAATAGTTTCTTAGGAAAAATGCTGGCATGGGTATCTGTTACCCAGGCTCTAGCTTCCTTTTAATTTAAGGACTTTGACAGGAATATGTAACTCAGAAAGCAAAACATCGTACTCCACGTAAACAACTTTCTTTTTTTTTTCTATTCAAGTGCCCGGTTTTTCCCACTCAAACACGGGATATTTATAATTAAGACTAGTTTCACCTTTTCTTATAACAGACCCCTAATTCTTGAGGGTGCTTTGGGAATGCCAGCTCCCTTTGGTATATGGTCTAAAGATGTTAATCTGTTTCCTAAAAATCCAGTCAATATATTCCAAAATAAAGGTCCCCTTTGAGGATCATTTGCATTTGGGGTTATGCCCAGCTCTGCTTCCTGCTCTAGTTTACTGAGGGATGACAGTGCGAAACTGTCCAGACAGGCTTGGGACTATATCCTGCTCTACCGTTTTCAGATTGTGTGTCCTTGGGAAGGTTTCTTAATGTCTTTTTAGCTCATCTATAAAATGCTGGTAATTGTTCATACACCTCAGAGAGCTATTGTGAGAATTAAATGGGCAATATGTGTAAATTATTTAGTTCACTGCCTGGCACATAATAAGCAGTAATAGGGTAAAAATCATAACTATACCATTTTTCATTTTTCATATGTTTGCCTTTGTAAATCCTTTTAGGCTCTCATTTCTCTCCGGTTATGCATTCTTTATATCCTGAAATGGGTGCAAAGTTCCCATATAACTGCCTTCTAGTGATAGCTCACATTTCCCAGTCCCTTAAAGTAGCTCAGTGATTGTCTTTGGCTTCAAAAGAGAAAGTTTAGGCTGTTATGGATAGTGTGGTTATGATAGATTTAGAGGCAAGGAAGAGGTCCCTTGTTAGCCCCCTTTTTATTTTGGGGTTATTGTTTATAATTATTCTAGCTTTATTTTATTCTAATTTCTTAATTACTGGTTATATAAATCTCACTTTCTTCTGAAATTGACTTCAAAGGTTTCATCCTTCTGTCAAGAACCAAGTTATTCTTTCTAAGCTAAACAGGGTGCTTTCTCTTTAGCTGCTTCTTATACTTACATATTGATTCCTTGAAGTGTTATTGTTGGTGCTTTTTCCAAAAATCGACTTTGTTTTTTCAATTAAAAGTGTTTCTAAACTCTTAGTGGACAGTGAGTATTAGTATTTACTCTATTTTTGAGCCTGACCCTTTAATGTGAAGATGTAATTTCTTTTTTTATTATTTTCTTGGAAAAGGTAAATCAGATTAACCTTTAATTCTAAACACCGAGAAAAGATTTTCTACAAAGACTTCTAAAGACTTATGTTTCTTAGTTTCAGTATTAACAGAACATTCTATACCTGTAATTATTATGTTACAGTGGCTGGGAAGGAAGGAAGAATACATTTTAACAAATGCCTCCAAATGTGACCTGTTTCCTTCCACAGGATTTCTGATCCCTAACGGCTGTGATCATTGTGATGGAGCAAAAGAAAAAGCTGTTGGTCTCAGATACTCTAGAGAGGGAGAGTTTGAAAAGTTCGTTTACAGGTGAGGGATCAAGAAGATGATCTGAACGCTTTGGAAATTCATTATAAGATACACTATAGAGTATGGGGCATTAGAATGAGATAAACTTTAATTTGATTCCCTGCTGCATAACTTACAAGTTTATTAACTCTTACAGCCTCAGTCTTGTCATCTTTAAGAAAAAAAGGAATGATAATATCTGTCTCTCATATTTTTTAGAATTAATGAAATACCATATGCAAACTACTATTCTTATAGTGGGTGTCATTATTTCTATATGTGTTCAGATTTTAAAGCATTGTCTAGTTTTTGCCTCAGATGGCATGCTGGGGCATACTCTTCAGTTTCTTCCCTACTCACATCCCCTTTTTTCTTTTACGTCTTCGAGAACAAAGTTAGTGAACTTATCTTTAAATTGATATCCTCCTTTGCAACTGCTGACAACTGTTCAAATACAGTTGACCCTCGAACAACATAATATGGGTTTGAACTGTGCAGGTCCACTTATACGTGGATTTTTTTTCAATAAATAATGTAAATGTGCTTTCTCTTCCTTATGATTTCCTTAATAACATTTTATTTTTTCTAGCTTAGTTTATTAGAAGAAAACATTATATAATACCTGTAACATATAAAATTTGTGTTAATTGACTGTTTATATATGTTTGGTAAGGCTTCTGGTCAACAGTGGCTATTAGTAGTTAAGTTTCAGGGGAATCAAAAGTTATATGTGGATTTTGACTGTGTGTGGGGTGGGGAGGGGGGTGCCTCTAATCCCCTCTAACCCCCGTATTGTTCAAGGGTCAACTGTGCTTGATTATTGTTGCTAGGTACAAAATATTCACCTGTTTCTGACAAACACATGGAGTAAAAGAGACAAAACTAGCTTTAAAATTTTTTTATGTGAAATAATTTTCGAGTTTTTACTTCATTATTCTCTCTCTCACTGCAATTTAGAATTTCCTTCCCCTGGGAGATTAGGGAATATGTTTAGAATATTTGTTTATTCTTGCAGGAAATGAAGGGAAGAATAATTTGGAAACTGTTCAACACTGTAACCCTAAGGCAGAGAAACTTAAAGAGAGAACTTCAAAATGGTTTAAAAGAGATGGCCCACAAAACTGTAAACGTGAGGATTCAAAAGAAATGCTACTGACCTGGTCCCAAGGGGATGAGATTTGGTGTGATATCTATGAGAACGATGGCAAGTCAGAGAATCAGGGAAATTCTACAGAAAAAGAGGAAGAAAAGCCCAGTCACTGGGGATGGGACCCAGGAGAACACGCCAATGCCTCTGTCCAGCAGAATTCATCCTTCAGAGACAAGCCCTACAAATGTTCTGAATGTTGGAAAAGCTTCAATAATAGTTCTCATTTGCGTATTCACCAGAGGACCCACTCGGGAGAAAAACCTTATAAATGCTCTGAGTGTGGGAAATGCTTTAGTAACAGCTCTCACTTGATTCAGCATCTGAGAACACACACAGGAGAGAAGCCGTACCAGTGTGGCGAATGTGGGAAAAGCTTCAGTAATACCTCCCATCTTATTATCCATGAGAGGACTCACACGGGAGAGAAACCCTATAAATGTCCTGAGTGTGGTAAGAGTTTCAGCAGCAGCTCTCACCTTATTCAGCATCACAGATCACACACAGGTGAAAAGCCATATGAATGTCCTGTCTGTGCGAAATGCTTCAGCCACAGTTACGTTTTAATAGAACATCAGAGGACTCATACTGGAGAAAAACCTTATAAATGCCCTGATTGTGGAAAGGGCTTTGGTCAGAGTTCCAGCCTAATTCGCCACCAGCGGACACACACAGGCGAGAAGCCATACAAATGTCTTGAATGCGGCAAAAGCTTTGGTTGTAATTCGACGCTAATAAAGCATCAGAGAATTCATACAGGAGAAAAACCCTATCGGTGTACAGAATGTGGGAAGAATTTCAGTCGAAGTTCAAACCTCATTACACATCGGAAAACACACACAGGAGAACAATCCTATGAAAGTTCTGAATATGGAGAAAGTGTGCATCAGAACTGCAATATAATAGAAGAATGCAGAATCCAGCCAGGAGAGAAACCATATAAATGTTGTGAATGTGGAAAGAGTTTTGGCCTCAGCTCTCATCTCATTAGACATCAGAGGACACATACCGGAGAAAAACCTTACAGATGTTCTGAGTGCTGGAAAACGTTTAGTCAGAGTTCCACCCTGGTGATTCACCAAAGGACGCACACAGGAGAGAAACCTTATAAGTGTTCTGACTGTGGTGAGTGCTTCAGTCAAAGCTTTAACCTCATCAGGCACCGGAGGACCCACATAGGAGAAAAACCTTACAAATGTACCGACTGTGAGAAATGCTTCAGCAGAAGTGCCTACCTCAGTCAGCATCGGAAAATTCACATAGAAAGGTCTTTTGAGTCTCCTGAAGTTGAAGATTTTCCTTGTGAATGGACTTGGAAAAACTGTTCAGGGGATATGGCCCTTATCTCTTCATTTGCAGTTCCAAATTCATCATCCTCTTAAGTCCCCAAGCCTGTTTCTTTTTTTCTCTTCTTATTGGCCCATTACAGTTAAGGTGTTCTGTGATCATTGTGCTACGATGTTTCTGTGGTTTGTCTGTCAAAACATTTAGAAAAAGTCAACCTCTCAGTTTAGAGCATAGGAAGACCTAGATCGTTGAATCTGCCCAGTGAGATATACTGCCAAGGATAGAGAAAAGTTATTTTTGATTTAAAGTAATATAAGATGAGCTTCAAAGGAAAACATAAAGAGTAATCGTGGGAGTAAATAAAAGGACACCGCAGAGCTTGACTCTGAGATTGACATTGAATTGTCTTATTTTCTCTGGCCTAATGGGGTAGCAATAAATCATTACTGGCCTCAGGGATTTTCCCAGAAAAAAAGATTCTTTTTGAACAAATCACGTGATTTCCTGGCCTTTTTGCTGGGTCTTAATAAAGAAAAGATTCATTTTTTAAATTCATTTTTAATTGCTGAACATTAACTTTTGTATCTAGAAATGCACTGTCCAATATGATAGCCACTAGCCACATGTGACTATTAAAATTTATATTAATGAAGAGTAAATGAAATTTAAAATCCAGTTTTTTAGTCACACTAGCCACTTGCGAAGTGCTCAGTATCTGCCACATGTGACTGGTGGCTGCTGTACTGGATATCATAAAAAGTATTTTAAGATCATCTTTCTTGACAGACTCACAGATATTTCCTATTTGACTCATAATATTTCCTATAAATGCAGTCTGGGATTTCTGCTCTCCAAGAGGGATTGCAGTATAGGATAGAAATGTGTTAAAAGGCACTAAATCTAGGGACTGGCTGTTCTAATGATTGTATATTTTAATGTATGTTCAACCATCTCGATTATCTAGCGATATGGTCTCATTGTCTTGGCCAAAGCCAGATTAGGAGATGGGATACTTGAATTCTGTTTTAAAAATTTTGACAAATAGTTTTTATCCTTCAGTTTTCCTATTTCATTATCCCTGGTCATATTAAAAACTGTTTTTTTAAAAAATAATTAACCCACTGAATCTGAGCCGGTGTCCAGGGACAGTCTGCCATTGGAGACCGAGATTCCTTAGATGCGGTCTTAACAGTTTTCTTTTGCCTCTTGACTTATGTGGTATCAGACCAGATAACTGAGACCCCAACCGCTCTGCTCATCTGTCCAATGGTAATGATGCTTTACAAAGTATTAAGATATTTCCTATTCCCCTAACCCTCATTTTTTCCTGCTAGATGTGTAGGAAGGTCAAGGCTCCTCAGTTGCCCAAGATTTCATCTCATTTTTGGATTTGGAATATATTTTATAAAGAATATATAGAGACACAGATTAAGAATGTGGAGCCAGCGAGGGCCAATGACAACTACTGCAAAGGGCTACAGCTCATGGGTTTCGGAATTGCATGGGGATTATTTCTTCTTTCACGACTGTGGTGCACCTGATACTGGTGAGGCAATTGCACCTTTTGGTACAGGATTGAAAAATGAAGACGCAAAAGCTAGTGAAAGTATTTAAGAACTATTTGGGGTGATTTTCTGCTTTCAAAAAGGGGGAGAACATTGTTGGGCATTATTGGCTTTTATGTGACCCTCCCCCCCGCCCCCCGCCTAAGCATCTTTTTCCCTTTGTATGTTATATAGAATTGCTCAAATCATCTTAAACTATAATATCTGAGGCCAAGTTTTTACGTTTTTTTGTTTTTTTGTTTTTTTGTTTTTTGTTTTTTGTTTTTTTACCAGATAAGAGTTTGATTGTTTGATAATTAAATTTGGGCATTTGCTATTGAGGCTGAAATTCAGTTGCAAGGTAGTAGCTGTTGCGGAGATAGAAAAATCATCGATCACATGATGGGTGGCAAGTAATTGCTCTGAACCTCATCTGTAAAGTGGAGATAACACCCATTTTGCAGGAGTACTGTAAAGATTAAGTAATTAATTGTTTGCAATGCATCTAACACAGTGCTTAAAATATATTGGATTCAGCTTATTGAATTTTTTGTTGTTCATGAAAGAAAAGATTCAGTTTAAGTCAGGTAAGAACAGAATAGCAAGTTCAATTTAAGTTAATCTGCGTCTGAAGAAATTAACAACAGGCACAATTGATGTCCTGTCATCACCTATACTATGTTTTATGACTTCCCACAATTATGTAAAACCTAATTCACAAACCTTGATGTCTATAGGAATATAGATGTTCACATTTTAAATGGGTGACAATAGGCTTCGTTAGTTTTGGCAAGAATCTTGTCTCTTTGAATTAAGAATTAGGAAAACAGAAGAAAGATTTGTCACTTACGGTGGAGAACATAACAGTCGAATTTAATCATATTTGATGCCTTTGCCTCAGTTTCATTATTCAGCAAGAAGGTTCTTCATTTAGTTCCCCAAGAAGTAAATACTCGGTATTGTCTATTTTTCTTGCCAGCACAAAGGATACAGCACCTGAAATAAAAAATTCTTATTTGCAAGTGATTTGTTTGTTTCTTCTTAATTAAAGAGAAGATTCCTGTATTCTTTTTTCATACTCAAAGAAGGGGCTTATATTTTTTTCCCGACAGTGGAATGAGGAAATCCACGTTAACATATGTAGTCATAAATGTATTAGGGAACCCACTCCCAAACTGCTGTATAGCCTACCATAAGTTTTTATTATAGTAACTGGAGTAAAGGTTTACTCCCATCATTCCAGGTCATCCAGGTTGGATCTACCAAATGGGCCTTCTTCTTAGTGCTGTAGAGTTTCCTCATTGATGGTGAGAGGTAGTGGAGCCTGGCGCTGTGACTATTGCCCCTTAGACATTAATCAAAGATATTCATCACCAGTCTCTCACTTTCTGAAATCATGATAATGACATAACTGTCATTGCTTCTTTATTCTGTATTTGAGTTTACGCAATTCCTTTCAAGCAGTATAGCATTCATTCAACAAAATTCACCTGATTCCTAACGTGTTTAACAGAGGTCAAATGACAGTGGGAGGGGAATTAAGTTA